TTTGTCTGTGTATCTGTAAATGTCAGTCACCTGAAAATGATTTAACACACAAGCTGTTACTCTCTTTCTCCCTGAACAAACCCAAACAAGGCCAGCCATACATACCACAAGCTTTATATGTCTGACTGACTGATAATGTTTGTCTGTGGCTTCCGGTACTCTCTAACTCTGTTACCTCTTTTTCTATGTATTCTTTCCTTCTCTGCAGGGAACATAAGGAGCTTCTTATCCCCAACTACCTCATAAAGATTTTGTAACAGTTTTTAGTTAATAAATGTATCTAGGGAAAGAGGGGAGAATATCTGTCCATCTCCACAACAATCCCCCGGAGTGAAGCTTTCACACAGCCCGAGGGCTGACCTTACCAGCCTGTCAAAGGACATTAAGGTCTTATGGGCAACATGCATGTGAGAGGGATAAAATAAAACTGAGAATCTGCACAGAGAAAAAGACAATGCCAACAAAGCAAGCAGCTTTATACTGACCTATAAAAGATGCCAGAGTTCAAACATGTTGATGATGTGAATCCAGCTTCTTTTTCATAATAAATTTAAAATACCTCCAAACAGATTTATGAAAATTCTGATGTAAAATTGTACTTTGAATTTTTTTTATTTTTTTTTTGGCTGTGGTGGCATATTTGAGCTGAAGAGATTTATGAACAGGTCTGCGGGCAGGAAATAATTCATATTAGCTGTGAGTCCCATTTTTTTCCTACACAAAACCTTGAAATGTTTTAAAAATCTCATTGAAGGGTAAGAACTTTTTCAGCTCGCTGAAAGGACTAGCAAGATCTAATCCATCAAATCACAAGTTGTCACTTTTACTCTTACCTTTGTGCTGAATAATATACATCATATATATTAATCAATGAGCTAATGTTTTGATAGCTGGACTGCATGTGCTTTAGACAGAGGCTAGGTTTCCATTATTTATGTTTAATTAAGATGAACTTGACAGCTGACTGTAACTTCATGTTTAAAATACAGTACTGTGCAAAGTCTTGAGCTGCTCCTCAGTTCTTATATTTCGTTTCCAATGAGCCAGACTTTCTTGTAATTTTCTTAAAGTGGTTTCTGGAGGTCTTCTAAAGTTTTTTGTTGGACATTACCTGCTTTTTTACTCATTTTCAGTCCAGTTTTTATACCCAACCATTTTCAGAAGAATGCTTTGTTTTTTGTTTTTTGTTGAAGTCACATCGCAGTGACTGATCAGCCATCTAAATATAAATAAAGGCACCAAACGCAAGGGATGAACCAGTGTTGTATCTACACATAGCAGACAACTTAGCAAAATAATAATTTTAAATTGCATCTTTCGGGACTTTGTTGCCAGCAGCTTGTCCCCAAAATAGAAAAACTGTTCCTATTTCTGAAAATGCTTCAAAATGCTGAAAGCTTCACATGATGAACAGTGTGTACCTAAAAATTCTGAGGAAACTGGTCAATTGATGACAAACGAAGAGGTGACAAACCTAAAACTATCTGTTGCAGATGACAGGTATGTAATGTCATTAAAATCTGAAAAGAAAAAAAAATCCAACTTAACAATGGACCCGAGAGATGCATCTGACCCTTCAGTTAATCCAACTGCTGTTCACCAAAGCATCATCAGAAATGGTCTCAGTGGGAATGTGACTGTCAATAAGTCATTTCTAAGGAGAGGAACAGGGAGAAAAAGCTGTGGATGACCAAATTACACAAGACCTGCACTGAAAATCAGTGAAAACAGCTCCAAACATGACATTTTTGTTCCAGATTGTCATCAGTATCTCTCCAAAAGTTGATTCCGTTCATCTGGACGTAGCGTTTTGTGGGAGAAACGTTTCGTCACTAATCCAAGTGAGAATTTGAATAATTAGGATTAAGGAACTGACCTCCCAGCCCATTGTTCATTCAGTGGGCTGGTTTCAGTCATTATGCAAATGTACTGTTTATAAGATTGGGGAAACCTGCAGTCAGCTGAGACTGAAGAAGTCACTTGGATGAGTGACAAAACGTTTCTCCCACAAAACGCTACGTCCAGATGAACTGAATCAACTTTTGGAGATTTACTTAGCTGGATGATTGAGCATGCATCAAGACGACTGTCAACAGTATGTTCAGAGGAGCTCAGAAAAGTACCATCAAATCTCATTTAGCCATACAGTACCATCTGGAAAGCATCTGATTGGAAACAGCTTAATTTGTCAGCATGACAATGATCCCAAACACAATACCAATGTAGCAGAAGCATACCTGGATATAAAAACTCACAATGGACCACGATCAGTCCTGGAATGTCCTGCGAGAAGTCTGGAGAACTATTCCCGAAGGCTACTCAAAGAAATTACAAGAAAGTTTGTCTAAGAGAGTTCAGACTGTGCTGCAGAATAAAGGTGGTCGCACTATTTTCAAGTTCGTTAAAACTGTACAAACTCTGTTCTTGCCTTATATATTGTAGTTCACCTATTTCCCATTGTCCTAACAAAATAGCAAAAAACTGTAGAGGACTGCACAGTACTGTCTATTTTAATGTCTGTGTATTAGAAATGAAAGGAAATCATTTCATTTTAGCGCTACAAATCTATGCTTTGTTAGCTGTCAGAAGTGACAGCAAATAATTCTTAACCTTCTACATGCAGCTAGATTCATTAGTGAAGCTTTCAAACTATTATGGTCAGTCAGCCTGCTCCAGAAAATCTTAAATCTCATCCTTTCTAATCTGAGGAAAATCTATTTTGTACAGGTGTGACCTGTGTCTGTTAATAACCTTTAATACTGTCTGATGTACCACTGAGTAGTTTTAATTTTTCATTTCGTTTTCACTGTGTAACAAAAGTTTAAAGCAGTCTCTAATGTGCATTTACTTGTATGCTTATAGAGCTTTCAGGTACTTCTAGGTTCATGCTGAGTGTGAAATGCTCAGGGAGTCATGAGAAAGTGAACATTTTCTGAAATCTCTAAATTCTGATTTTATTCATTATTTTTTTTAAACCACACTTATACCCTAGAAGCTTTCTGAGGGATACCAAGATTTTCCTTGTGCTTCACTTTCAGTGTGTTTTTAAATTGCACTCAGCACTATGCCGTGCTGACATCTAAAAGATTAATAATAATTAATTATAATAATAATTAATATTCAACCCAACGTTTTGAAGTCAAAAGCTTATCATCAAACATGTTACTCAGACATCTCCTCCATGCCTGCTTCATGCCCTGGGGGACGGGGCTATGGCTCCCTACACCTTCTAGCAGATCGTTACATGGAGAAACCTTTAATACAAGCGCGCTCATCCACCCAGGTGTTCACTGGTGTTCACTGTTCATAGACACAAACCACACCTTTCTTGGCTGCTACCTCAAAGCACATTGTGCTGCACAACAACACTCAATATTTAGTATTTACTGTTATTTACACTTAGCTAGATTAATGCGATGGTGTTGTGCTTATTATGCTGCTCTCTTTTTTTCCTTGTTTTCTCTTTTTTTTCTCTCAACAGGTGATCCGGGAGATCTTTTTGCTTTTTAAGTGTCTTTTCTCACTGTCCCTCTTCCCTGTTTTTCTTTTCCTTCCTCTCTTTTCCCTTTCCTATCTCCTAGCCATGTCTGTCCCTTTTGCAACAACTGAAAATAAAATAAAATAAATAATAACAACAATGGTCAATCAAATAGACCAATACCGCAAGGTCGTGATGATCCACTTGTTAAAGTAAATCCGTTGGATATCTTTGTTGGCGTTCAGACAACAATTCTGACGGCTAAAGAACCAAATGTGACAGGCAAAAAAGAAAAGAAAAGAAAAAGACATGTTACTTAAAATCTTGCATAAAATGTGTACCCTTTGACCTCTCTGTGTGTTAGAAGAAGAGAAGGCAAAAACAAAAGCAGTCAGTGGATAAGTTTTTGGTCTCTTTGTGGTGCAATCATCCTTAATAGGACTACAGAAAGCAGAGACTCTTTATATTTGACATGTGATTAGTACAACAAATTTCATTTATTTATTTTTACAAGAAACTTAAGAGGTGTGTGTTAATTGGAAGCATCATATTTGGTGTGAGGTTTGGATAGCTGGAAGATTCTGCAGCACTGACTGAAACCACCCAGAACAGCACCGTTACCCATTTACAGAGCATCAATAACACTGGGGACTATTAGAAAATACCCACTGTGGTCTGTGAACCCTGCTGTCATCTGGAGACAAGTATCTGCTGTTGCTCCAAAGGTGAATCTGAGGGGAAACATCAGAGCATGTTTCTTTTCTCAGGTTTAGAGATTTTTAAACTTATATTATATTATATTATATTATATTATATTATATTATATTATATCACACACACACACACACACGCACACGCACACGCACATGCACGCACGCACACACACACACACACACTCTCTCACACACTCTCTCTCTCTCTCTCACTCTCTCTCTCTCTCTCTCTCTCTCTCTTTCTTTATAAATCCTATCAAGCAAGCAGCAGAGCTGTGTGGGCAGAAAGTTGAAGAAAAAGCAGCAGAGCTGCTTGCCAGTACATTCTGCTCAGCACCCCAGACAGCGAACAGCGAAGAGAGCTAGAAAACAACTTTCAATCAATACTGGACAAATACTCAGGAATCGGAAAACAGACGTGACTTTGTTCGGGGACTGATTATTTGAATCTGATTACAGAGAGACTCTGACTTTTCCTCTTCTAGACATAGTAAGCCCGTTCTTGTCTTGATCTCTGCATAAATCTTTACTCTGCGCGATTTAAAAATGTTCTCCTTTAAACGCATCGAGCCTTTAAACAAAGGCTCAAGATATTCAACCTTAGCACACACATTCATTAATGACACATTCATAATTATAGAGCGTGTAGTCAAAAAGATGTGTCGTGCGTAAAAGCGGTGGCACCATTCACAGCTTGACGCACAACACGCCGGATGACTTGTGAGTGGTTCCAAAGTCAGATCAAAAGAGACGTAAACAGTCAGATCTATTTAAAAAAAAAAGAAGAAGCAAAGATAGAGCTGACAAATACAGCACATCATCATCTGTGACTCAACTGCTTACGGTCTAATTCCTCATACGACTACACTACTGTGAAGCTACGTGTATGATACGCTAGGATGTGGAACACCTGCCTCACTGGAGTTCGCTCAGGGCGCACGGGGCGCACACAAAGCTTTAGAATTATCGGAGGAGTTTAATGTAGTGATTATTGGTCTTTCTTGTGCACGGACTGTTGATTGAGACAAACTGGATTGTTCCTTTTTATAGTTCAAAATCACCTTTTCATCGTTTTACTTCACATTTTAAAGCGTGGGGGCTGCTCCGGCTTCTGTCTCGAAAGCATGGGAAAAGAAGAAGGAGGAAAGAGTTTCTTCTAAATCACTGGAATCAAGCCACCACATGGACTGTGAACAATGGAGCAACAAGACCAAAACCTCTGGCATCCCTTTTCATCCGAGCTCAACTCCTCTACATCCTCACCTATCCTCTTCTCTTATCCTCGCCTTTTCAACATCTCCTCCAACATTTCCACTCAGAGTGTCCCCTTTCAGGGCAGCAGCACTCTGATGACCGCAGTCATATCCCTCACAGTCTTCGTGGTGGGTCTGACCGGCAACACTTTGGCGATCTATGTGGTGCTGCGCTATGCCAAAATGAAAACAGTCACCAATATCTACATCCTGAACCTGGCTATGGCTGATGAGCTGTACATCGTCGGGCTCCCCTTTCTTACCACACAGAATGTACTCTCCTATTGGCCCTTTGGCTCTTTCCTGTGCCGCGTGGTCATGACTGCAGACTCCATGAACCAGTTTACGTCTATCTTCTGTCTCACAGTAATGTCGATTGACCGTTACCTGGCTGTGGTTCATCCAATCCGCAGCACCAAGTGGAGACACCCCCGCATAGCGAAGGTAGTGAGCGCAGCTGTGTGGGCCGTTTCCTTTGTGGTGGTCCTGCCAGTGGTCATCTTCTCTGATGTGCAGGTATATAATTCAGTCGTGTGCCAGTGAAAACTTCAGATAGGACACCGAAGCATGGTAATATGACCGCTCCTAAAGCGAGAATTAAGCACTGGTTTAATGGCCATATTGGTAGTTGTTACAGATTAATAACTACGTTCCTCTACAATCTTTGAACAAAGGTATTTTTTTAAAAGAAGGAACAACTATAAACGACAAATGTTACCAGTAAAACAAAAACTGTAAATAATAATAAGAAGAAAAAGAAATAATAATAGTTACAAAAATCCAAGCTAAATGTCACAAGAGGGTTTTTGTGAAACATGTTAAAAACACTGAATTTTCAGCACTGTTAATGGTACTATATATATATATTTTTTATAAAGTGTGTTTGACCTTCACGACTGTTTGCTAAAGTAAAAAAAAACATTTGACAATAATATGTTCGACTGTTCTTTTGGAGACTACTTGGAGTTCTAGCTCACTCCCTGGTATTTCTGTATTTGTGTTAAGCTAAGCTAAACATAATTCCCCATTCTTTGAAATATTCATTCACATAATGCAGTGCAATGCATTTCGCTTTAGCAATGATTCTAATTGCAGTATAACAAAACAAACAAAAAAAGCAGGAATTTGATGGAGGTACTCAAATCAAGTGGTTCCCAAATAGTGCAACCAGTGCACCATGAGGCACCATCATATTTTTTCAAAACCATATGTTATGATTATGCAATATACAACTGCACTTCAAGTTGAATGAGTTGTTATATTATCATGTCAATCTTTTCTGTACACTCACTGAGAGGTAAATATAATATCCTAAAAATTCTTTGAACGAACGTGTCTGTCGGTGCACCTTGGATGAATTACCAGATAATGAGAAGCATTACAGTCTAAATATGCCCTGAAAGCACAGAGGTCAACAAATAAGAAAACTAATTCCTTTCCAGTATGGTCCAAACCACCACATAATATCTCAAATGTAAGATGTCTTACTGCTTCTGCTGAAACAATGGTGTCAACAGTCTACATGTGTTATCTGTCATGAGAATCTGGCTAATGCACATTTGGTTCCATGCAAGATAAAGAGCTACGTGCCAACTTAACCTCCTTTCCGAGAAAATCTTTTCCTACTTCAATCAATATTAACTGAAGGCACAAAGAACATTTGTTTATGGTCTGGTAAAGTATCCAGTGAGTCAAGACAGCTAAGTCAAATGCTAGTCAAGTGGTACCACCACACCGAAAGTGTGATGCTAGGTCTAAGTGCTGGAAATTGGCAGTCAAAAGTGCCTTTATTTGATGATACAATGTGAAATAAAACACTATCAAAATGCCAGCTGACATGGAAGCTGTTTATTCCACAGACATGAATACAAGTGTATTTGCAAAGATGCACTTGTGTAAAGTTTATGAAAAAGAAAAGTGTTTCTGCAACAACAATTTAAACGAGCAGACATTGTTAAGCTCAAAGACAGACAAAGCTGAAATGGCTTGGTATGTGCAAAGGAGGGATAGTGGATATATCGGACAAAGGATGTTAAACAGGCAGCAGTCATGCAGGAAGAAAAGAGGAAGACTAAAAGATAAGATTCATGGATATAGTGAAGGAGAACGTGCAGAGGGTTGGTGTAGCAGAGGAATAGGGTGAAATGTGGGCAGGTGATTTGCTGTAGTGACCCCTAAAGGAGGAGGAGGATGAACAAGAAGAAGTAGAAGATGAAGATGATGATTGACATTTAAAATTAATGGATGTGATGGAAAGCAGTGGATTAACTTCCAGATTTTGTTGTTGACTGTCTGTCAGATTCCGATTCAATTCTGAATTTACTTTATTTGTTCAATATTCATTTTTCTTTAGGATACATTTAACTCCTGCAACATGATCTGGCCAGAGCCGAAGGATGTGTGGTCAACAGCCTTCATTCTCTACACTGCCACAGTGGGTTTCTTTGGACCACTGCTCATCATTTGCCTCTGTTACCTTCTTATTGTCATCAAGGTAGATATTTCATGAAGCTCATTAAAAAGCACATTTCTAAGTTGATATTCTTTTCTCAGTCAACAGAAAGGCACGATTTCCATCCTCGTCATTATAATTCAAATCTTTTTATTGTTATTTTGCAGGTGAAGTCCTCTGGGGCACGGGTTGGTTTCTCTAAACGCCGACGCTCAGAGCGCAAAGTGACCCGAATGGTGGTGGTGATTGTGGTGGTGTTTGTGCTCTGCTGGCTGCCGTTCTTCATCATCAATATGGTCAATCTGGTGGTCATCATCCCGGAGTCCAGTGCCACTGCTGGCATCTACTTCTTTGCTGTCATCTTGTCTTATGCCAACTCATGTGCCAATCCGTTTCTCTATGGTTTCCTATCAGACAACTTTAAACAGAGCTTCAGAAAAGTACGTTGAATTTCTTCTCACCATAGCAGTGCTGTTAAAGCCCGCTAATTAGCATCTTACATCTTGTTTATCTGATCTCAACTCATTGTGTTTGTTAACTGTTGAACTGTTGTGAGCAGTGATTTTTTAGAAGGTAACATCAATTTCTACAAACTGCATCAGTTTGACAGTGCTGTATAAGAATAGGAATATAATCATAGTTTAGGGCTCTATCTATTGCAGCTTCATTTTACTTTAAATTATGTTTTCATATCATTTTTCATCTACCAATCACAGCAGGTGATTCAACACTGCTCAAAACTGTGGTTACTAAAACATGTCCACATTTTTTTTTAAAGAAAAGAGATGTTTGCCTTTAATTTAAATGTCATTAAATTCATAAGAAATGTTTCTCCCACATTTTGTGAAAAACAATCATTTAAAAATTATTAATTTTTTATTAAAATAGTTTTTTCAGCAACCATCAGTCTGGAGCAAAGCTGGCATGTATTGTGGTATCCAGTTTAGATGTCCTGATAAATGTCTATCATCAGAAAAATATATATATCAAAGTTAAAGTCAAAATATCCAATAAATTAGAGTTCAGCAATAATAAAGAATAAATCTACAATATGATTTTTTGTCATTTTTTGGATGCTGTCATATTGTCAATAAATTTCCCAAAGCTGATCCAAGTGCAGAGAGAACATGCCAGACTGATAACAAGAGAAACAAAATCACTCGCTAAATTAAAAGACCAACTCCAAAAACGCTAAAAAGCAACACATAGAAATCCCTGGGAACTAAGGGAGAAAAAACAACAACTTGAAAAAGTGTGAAGCAAAATAGGCTGAATTTATACATGCTGGAGAAAGTGGCGATAAGACAGAGGTGAACCGTATTAAGATCAAAACAATACTGAGCGTGTGAAAAGGAATAAAAGAGCTAACCTTCAAATTTAAAAAGGAAGGTAATCAGAAAATGTCAAGAAAACAAAGCAGTGAAGAATAAACTCACACAGCTGGGTGAACACAGAAACACAAAAGAAAAAGCGGAAAACGAGCAACTTGACAGACACATGCCTGTCAGCTATGATTATTATACACCCCTCCTCTAAAACCTTAAAGAAATGAAAGAATATACATGACTAATTTCACATAACTAGAATGAGTTTGATGGTTCAGACTATCAGCACAAAATAACAACGTTATTAATAAAAGTATTGCTTTAATTTAGAAACAAAAATAAGAAAAAATTTGGTTTAATATCAGTGTTTTCACTTTGTTCTCCTTCCTTTGGGCTTGGAAAAGGATAAAGGCTTAGTTTGACACTCCCTACTGAGTGTCTGTGTCTGCAGTTGGTATGGACACCTGTATGTACAAGAAGAGGTTTACTGTTCTGCTTTTTGTCTCTCTGTTTCCTAACAGTTGCTGCCACTGAGGAAATGTTGTTGTTTTTCACTATTACCTTGCTTATTGCAATTCTCTTTCTCACTGCCTCGGAAGCCTAGACTACAAATTATGTGACCATGTTGTTAAAATGTTTTGTTGCAGGATTAGTTAAACTCTGTCTCCCACAGTTATTAAACAGTGAAGCCATGAAGCTAAACTCAGTATTAATATTTTTCGAATACAGAAAACATGAAAAAATATGTTTTAGTGAAATATGTGTAAGTAGAAAAAAAATCAGTGATATGGTTTCACTTTTTGGTTCCAGTGCTGCTATCTAGGATTGTTTTACCCCTATGGTTGAGACTCATCTTTAGCAGTATTATTATTCTGGTTATAGAGTGCAACATTTTTATTTCAAGTGTATTACAATCCTTTTTTTCTGAAAAAACAAACCTGGATCCAGAATACTGTTATTTTCTAGTCTGTACACCTTCAACAGTATGTTATGTTGCAGAGAAGGCTGATGTGTAGCAACCCTTTAAAGATAATAACAGCACTAATATTGTCATGACCTTTCAGGTGCTGTGTGTGAGGACCATGAGGTGCGTTGCCAATGATGTAGATGATGGTGACCCCAGTGTCCCGCGCACTGAGAAAACCACAGCACAAGACTGCATCCTGCTGTCCCCGCGTAACCAGGTCTATCACGATCCCCAGAGCAGCCAGGTAACCAGTGTGTGTGCTCATGTGGAGCTGAGGTGATGGTATGTATTGCATAATGGGAATTAAAGGGATTTGGAAAAATAAAAAAGAACAGAGATTTAAATCAATTTAGTGCAGCACTAGATCAAAAGAAAGGCATGTGTTATTTTTGTTTCACTAATATTAGAAGAACAGTGGAGACTCTCTGCATCATAAGTGCGTCACTTCTGTATTAATCAACAGGCAGGTGTGTGCATTTGTGTGTGAGAGCAGCTAATTGAAGGTTTGTGAATTAATGCTGCTGCAGAGGCAATGATTAGAAAAAATTCTGAAAGTGCCAGCGAAAGTGATTAGGTTTAGAGGAGGGAAAGAGGGAAGAAAAAGCTCTGACTCAGTCTGTGCAGTGTGGCGCTTCATGGTGTCCATTTAGATAACTAGTACAAGAGCAGTGAGGTGCATTAGATGACAGAGTGGCTCTGATGAGGCTCTTCCAGTGCTTAATCAGCTTTTCAAGGTTATATAATGCCAACTTTCTCCAAAAGTCACAGAAATTATGGATGCGCTTTGTGTAGGTCCCTTTGATCCAAAAGAGGAGAAAACATGAGACTAATAGGTATGACAGGAAAATACACGCAGGCAAAATAAAGGGAGACGTGGAAAAGAAAACATAAGAAACAAAAGTAAACGGTTAAAACTGGAAAACAAAAGAAAAAATGTTATTTAAATCACACCAGGGACCAAATACATAACAGAGTGCCTCTGACTGAAAGGTGGTGTTTATAGATTTTTATGCCTCATACAGATGATGATGATGATGAAAACAGCAGATCTAGTGTGTCATATAAATCAATGATGACAATTGTGAAAAAAGAAATCGCTTACAGTTTTAGTCTTTAAACGTTTCTCGTGGCCCATAATGGGCCTCTGCACACATAAGCACAATCGGTCTGTGTTGCTTGACATATCTATATATTTTTAAGATTTTGACCATTTTACGAATAAAAAATCTATTTAGTTTCAATAAGTAAGAACCCACTGATTTTTTTTTTATTGCAGTCTTGGAGATATTTCATTTGGTTGAGTAAATAAAACCCCACTTACAAAAACAAAAGATCAAACATCCACTGCGTGCATTCATGTCATGCCTCTTTTTTTTTTGTAATTTCTCTATTGTCTTCCCCTTTTTCATGTTCCCATCTTGCTCTTTCGTTTGTTCTTCTTCTCTCTGAAGATCTCACCTCACCCGCCGGGCTCACCAACGACTCACACTGCAGCAGACCTGCACCGCTCCACCCCTGCATGTAAGTTTCAGTCCACTTACCCAGGAACCGGACCGGCCACTACCACAGCAGCCTCGATGCTAAACTCTGTTGTAACTGCAGCTGAACCTCCCACAGTCACTGCCCTGACCACTAGCTCCTCCTCTGGTTAATTAGGGCCACATGAACAGTAGCAGAGAAACTCACACATGAACTGAGAAAGAAAAACATATTTTAAGGATTAAGTGATCAAAGTGGCAAAATCGATGCTTTTCTGCCTTTTTGTCAACTATTTTATTAATACCACACACACTTATTCTACATCCATTATAGCACATTGGTGGAAAAAAAAAATCACAACATTTTTGTTTATCAAGACCAATTTTGTTCCTTTCAGCAGCCTGACATAAGTGCCTTTCCAGCTATAATCAACACAGCTCCTAAAATAAACATTTACACCTTACTCCTTACATTTTAGGTTGGTCATGTAACACTGAAGAATGTATTTACCTATCAGAACCAAAAAGCCTCTTAGGACTTATTTCATTCGGTGGATGTAATTTCCTGCAGGTAGCAAATATGAGGGGTTTATTTGGGCATTATAGGGTCCTCTCTACAACAGCTTTAATCAAACAGCGCAGTAATTCATCATATTTTCTCATTTCCGACTGCTGCTTATTTCTGCTTTCTTACTTAAGTGGATAAATTGTGATGATTGAATCCGACGTCTGTATTTGCTTTGCGTAAAAGTCTTTTGTGATCTCATTTGCGTACCATTGAGAAGTTTAAAAGAAAAAGGAAACAAAATGAAAAACGGCTTGCTTGTCTTTTCTCAAAGTAAATGTGATGCTTTGGCAGCTCTATGCTTCTCTGTAAATATGTAGCCCCCCTTAAAGCTAAAACGCCTGACATTTTTGGATATATGCTTCTTGCTTCTTGCATTTTGTTTTTGTGTTCATGTGATGTGTGTGCACAGTAAAGATAAACTTTATTTGATGAACTGGCGATACAAGGTGTTTTGCAAAAATTACCAAAAAGAAAAATAGAAAATACACAAGAGAAAAAGAGAACAATAGCAATATTATTCACAAGAAAGGGACACATTTAAACATTAAAAAAGACCTTTCAACACATTATGCAAATATGAGTCTGTACAAGTGGGTTTTTAAAAGCTTCTGGATTTGACACAGCTGATCTGAAGGAGAAGGTATAAAAGTCTGTTCCACATTTGTTTTAAGCCCTTTTAATAGGAACTGATTCTCTGATGTCAGGAATCTGGGCACAGAATAATAGGCTAGCATGTAAACAGAGCCATTCCAGGTAACAGTCTGGTTATTTGTGCCTGTTTTACTTTGCTCTACCCAGTGTATGTATTTATTTTTTGTCTTTGCAAGAGTTGCGATGTAGCAGCATATGTTGTTATCAGCGCTGTTGGGTGTAAAATAAATGCTAGAGTAAATCAGATGAGACAGGAGACACTGTGTCTTTGGCCTTTGCAATTGCATCTAGATCATCTTAGGTACAATTTAAACGCTTAAAGCAAACTTTAAAGAACAAGTTTGAGCACAGCTTCTCCTTTAGTGGTAGTATGTCTAAAGTATTGATGTATTATTATGTATGTATTGTTTATACATTTTCTGGCTGCCATGTCTGTAAAGCCAACAACCAGTGACTGAAAACCAGTATATTGTTGAGAATATTCATTAATGCAATTGAATACTGTAATACAATAAAATAACTCACAGTAATGGGATTCGTTTACTGCAGTAGACAATCTCGCTGATGGATTGTGGGTGTTTTCCAGTCACTTTTTCATTATGTACAACGAAAGAAAATTCATATTAGTGGCACAAAGAGTGTGAGTGTAATGGAGTGGAGGCAGTGAATAATGTAAACTAATAGAAGCAATGGAATAACAAAAAAAACCAAGGCTGATGAAAAAGGCTTTTACATGCAAATACAGCAAATGTGATGTATATTTCAACTGATATTTATAGCTGTTCAGATGTGTCATTGCTATGTGTTTTTGGGCTTCTTTTGAATAAAAGATTGTGATTAAAAACAGAGAAAGAGAGTCTGTTGTTGATACTCAGACACACTAATTACACTCAGTTATATTTATAAAGCACTTGTTCACAACAGGAGGCAGCACAGTAGTGCGGTGATTAGTACTGCTGCCTCACAGCAAGACGGTCCTGGGTTAGAATCCACCATCTGTGCGGAGTTTGCATGTTCTCCCTGTGTTTGCGTGGGTTCCCCCTGGGTACCCTGTCATGCAGGTATTGGGTTTAAATTAACTGGTAATTTTAAATTGCCCATAGGTGTGAATGTGAGTGTGTATGGTTGTTTGTCTCTCCGTATTAGCCCTGCTACAGACTGGGAACCTGTCCAGGGTATACCCTACCTCCTGTCCTATGTTACCTGGTATAGGCTCAAGTCCCCCTGTGACCCTGAATTGGATAAGTTGCAGAATGTATGGATGGATAGTTCACAACACCAGTTGTTTCAAGCCACTTATAAGGACAAGACTCCACAATATTACCTTTGTTACGACCCGGCTCAAAGCCGCAACATAAAAACGGAGATGAATAACAGAGTGTTAGTGTGAAGAAGCTTTATTTTAAAATGGCATAGCAGGTTGGCTCAAATGGCTGGTACCACCAAGGCAAAGACTAGTGAGCTCTCTGGACGCTTGCCTCAGGTATGCTTTTATCCACACCTGACTAGGTGTGGCCAGCACCAGCTGAACACACTGAGCAGATTAGAGGCTGCAGAGGGACGTAACAACCTTAATGAGCAGATGATCCTTTGCAAGCAAAGACATGGTGACAGTTGGGAAGAAAAACTTCCTTAAAGCAGGACGAGAGGTCTAAAAGAACCAGGCTTGTAGGTCTGCCATTTGCCATGAGGGTAACAAGAAGACAGAAAAGAGGAGCATAGAGAGACTCTGACAACCGTAAACCTATTAGTTTATGGACATTATGGAGAAAAATCTGTACTTTTAAGCAGGCTATGAGAACCCCATCAACTAGAGTCTTTACAATCTTGTAGATTAACATTTATCTAAAGCTTGGTCAGATTTTTACACCCTTCATGCCACACCTGAAAAACTGCCACAAGATCTGTATTTCCATACTCTGCAAAGGTACAGTGGGGCAAAAAAGTATTTAGTCAGCCACTGATTGTGCAAGTTCCCCCACCTAAAATGATGACAGAGTTCAGTAATTTGCACCAGAGGTACACTTCAACTGTGAGAGACAGAATGTGAAAAAAAAATCCATGAATCCACATGGTAGGATTTGTAAAGAATTTATTCGTAAATCAGGGTGGAAAATAAGTATTTGGTCAATAACAAAGATACAACTCAATACTTTGTAACATAACCTTTGTTGGCAATAACAGAGGTCAAACGTTTACTATAGGTCTTTACCAGGTTTGCACACACAGTAGCTGGTATTTTGGCCCATTCCTCCATGCAGATCTTCTCGAGAGCAGTGATGTTTTGGGGCTGTCGCCGAGCAACACGGACTTTCAACTCCCGCCACAGATTTTCTATGGGGTTGAGGTCTGGAGACTGGCTAGGCCACTCCAGGACTTTCAAATGCTTCTTACGGAGCCACTCCTTTGTTGCCCGGGCGGTGTGTTTTGGATCATTGTCATGTTGGAAGACCCAGCCTCATTTCATCTTCAAAGTTCTCACTGATGGAAGGAGGTTTTGGCTCAAAATCTGACGATACATGGCCCCATTCATTCTGTCCTTAACACGGATCAGTCGTCCTGTCCCCTTGGCAGAAAAACAGCCCCATAGCATGATGTTTCCACCCCCATGCTTCACAGTAGGTACGGTGTTCTTGGGATGCAACTCAGTATTCTTCTTCCTCCAAACACGACGAGTTGAGTTTATACCAAAAAGTTCTACTTTGGTTTCATTTGACCACATGACATTCTCCCAATCCTCTGCTGTATCATCCATGTGCTCTCTGGCAAACTTCAGACGGGCCTGGACATGCACTGGCTTCAGCAGCGGAACACGTCTGGCACTGCGGGATTTGATTCCCTGCCGTTGTAGTGTGTTACTGATGGTGACCTTTGTTACTTTGGTCCCAGCTCTCTGCAGGTCATTCACCAGGTCCCCCCGTGTGGTTCTGGGATCTTTGCTCACCGTTCTCATGATCATTGTGACCCCACGGGATGAGATCTTGCGTGGAGCCCCAGATCAAGGGAGATTATCAGTGGTCTTGTATGTCTCCCATTTTCTGATGATTGCTCCCACAGTTGATTTTTTCACACCAAGCTGCTTGCCTATTGTAGATTCAATCTTCCCAGTCTGGTGCAGGTCTACAATACTTTTCCTGGTGTCCTTCCAAAGCTCTTTGGTCTTGGCCATGGCGGAGTTTGGAGTCTGACTGTTTGAGGCTGTGGACAGGTGTCTTTTATACAGACGATGAGTTCAAACAGGTGCCATTCATACAGGTAACGAGTGGGGGACAGAAAAGCTTCTTACAGAAGACGTCACAGGTCTATGAGAGCCAGAGATTTTCCTTGTTTGAGGTGACCAAATACTTGTTTTCCACCCTGATTTACGAATAAATTCTTTACAAATCCTACCATGTGAATTCATGGATTTTTTTTTCACATTCTGTCTCTCACAGTTGAAGTGTACCTCTGGTGCAAATTACTGACCTCTGTCATCATTTTAGGTGGGGGAACTTGCACAATCGGTGGCTGACTAAATACTTTTTTGCCCCACTGTAAATGGCCTGTATTTGTATAACGCTTTACACAACCAGTCATCCACCCATTCACACACAGGTGATGGCAAGCTACATTGTAGCCACAGCCACCCTGGGGCGCACTGACAGAGGCGAGGCTGCCGGACACTGGCGCCACCACCTCTGACCACCACCAGTAGGCAACGTGTGAAGTGTCCTGCCCAAGGACACAACGACCGAGACTGTCCAAGCCAGGGCTCGAACTGGCAACCTTCCGATTACAAGACAACCTGCCAACTCTTGAGCCACGATCGCCCCATCATGATACATTGCATAAGTATGATGATAATATAACCTCATGTTTAAATAATGAAGAAATGGTACAAATGATATCCTTGCACTGAACAAGCTCAGCTCGTATGTGCAGGTATGTGTCTTCTTTCCCTGAAAGGTCTGTGGAGACAGCCCACCTAATGACCACAGACTGAATGTCAGGTTAAATCTCCTTCACTACTTACAGTAATGCCTCTGACTCAGTACCACAGCCAAATGTACAATCTCTTTATGGCATAATTTTTTTAATTAAACATTATTCTAGTCCCCAAGGACATCACAGGCATGACTGTTTGTGTGCATTTTGATGGCAGGCGATAGACGTTTTTTTTTGTTGTTGTTTTGTTGTTTTTCTAATCTGCTTCATTATCTCAAATACACAGCTCTGAGACGAAAGAAGAATAGATGAACAGTGGGCATCGCTTGTTATTCACAGACCCATTTACTAAGCAATATCAAGTAACAAGCACAATAATATTTATAGGGTCTGTATGTATTATTGTAGGGTCTACCTTTTTTTTTTTTTTTTTTTTTTGCCTGTCCCGTTTGGCTCTTTTGCCATCAGAATTGTTGTCTAAAGGCAAAGAAAGATGCCCAACGGATTTACTTTACCAAATTGACCATCCCAGCCTTGCCGTAATGTTCCATTTGATTCACCTTTTATTGTTTATTTTATTTTCACTTACTGAATACGGGACAGACTTGACTGGGGGAAAGAAGGGGAGAAAGAAAGAGGGAAAGAGAAACAGCTGAGAAGAGGGACGGGGGAGAAGGGCAAAAGACAAAAACCAACAGAACGGGCAGAGAAAAAAAACATGCATATATCAATCACCTGGATCACCTGCTGAGAAAGAAAAAAGAAAACAAGCAGAAGAGAACAAGAGTAAT